AGAAGTCTGGAATCCAGTTGAGAGTTTACAGTACCCTCAGACAAGCACAGAGCTACAAACAGTTTCATTGAGACAGGTCTCGCATCCCTGAATCTTGGAGTCGGGGTTTTCTCCGTGATACCACCTCCAGTAGTAGGAAGCCTCCAATAGACCGGTCTCACTAGACAGGTTCCTCTTCCAAGCACAGTGCAAAGAGGAGTTAAAGAATGGATAATATGTCTAAACCAACACTGAAGCAGGATTGCAGAGGGGACAGGGTAGGGTGGTGGGGAGCCAAGTGGAGGGGTAGTAAACACAGAAATTGAAATAAGAAATTGAATAACTATCTGATTTTGGGACATATTCCTTAATCTCTCTTAGCCTCTATTTCATGGTCTATGAACTGGAAATTACTCATACCACACCGTAGCTATGAGACTTAATTCATATAAAGTCCATTGCATGGGACTTGTGCATTGTACTTGGTCTATAAATTTTGGTCTTTTCCCTCTCCACTTTCCATCAGACCCTTTAGGGATACCTTCTTTAACTGACCACTAGGTGGTGTTAGCCTCTGAGCTGCTCCGTCTCAAAGCTGCCCTCCAAACGCCCCATTCCAAGCCTTTACACTCAGAAAAAGGGGTGGTTTATAATTTGCTGCAACTTCTTTGCTGCCTATCACCATTCTTGGTATCCTGTACATAAATTTCAGAAAATTCTTCCTTGACTTTCCACTATTTTGCTCATACTTCCAACCTAAGCATTTAAAGATAGAAGCTCCTTAAGTAGAGAGAAAGAGAAGATGCTGAGGCAGAGATTGAATAATGAGTGCCATCAGAGAAATACAAGGAAGAAGATGTTTACAGTCACATTCTTTCCCCTACCAGGAAGGTAACCCCAGTCCTAACACTGTCATCAACTTCCCCACCAGTGAAGAGCTGGGTGGAGGGCTGGGCTTAGTCCAGTGGCAGAGTATTTTTTTAGCTTGTGCAAGGGCCTGGATTCAATTTCTGGTACTGAAAGAAAAAAAAAAGACTTGAGTAGACACAAAAAAGTAGAAGACATGATCTCTGTCCTCAAGGAGTTTATGGTCTGGTGGTAGACCTAGAACTCTCAAAATTAAGTGCTAAACTCTGGATACTGGGGCTATCCTGAGTACAGGTTTTGAAGTGAAAAGATGGGCAGAGCAAGAACAATGGAAAAGCTTTTCTGAGGAGGGTAGAGGAGCTAGGGAAACAGAATAATTTTTCTTTTCTTTCTTTTTTTTGTTTTGGTACCAGGGATGGAACTCAGGACCTTGGGCTTTCAAGGCAGGCGAGGTGCCACTGAGCTAAATTCCCGGCCCAAGGGGAAGAGAATAATTAAAGGCTCACACAAAAATTTGCATCCTCTTATCTCAGAGAGACTCTTGCAGTAGTTCACATACTGGAAACAACCCAAGGGCCCACCAAACCCAATAGTGGAGCACCCAAGCAAGGAGATTCCAAGTGGCCAATATAAAGTGTGAGCTGGATGTGTACATACAGTGTGGAAAGAGATCAAGATAAATTAATTGAAAAAAGCAAGTTGCAAGAGCATATATGGTATGAACTCACTGGTGGTTTTCAAGGATACTCACTTATATTGTAAGTTATTTAAATGGAAAAAAAAAACCCTCCTGGAAGGATCCCCAAGGAAACAATAGTAGTGGTTACTCTGAGGGTGGGGCTGAAGAATAGCAGCATGGAGTACCATAAGTTTGATTATACTTCCAACCTCCGATATTCTTATGTTCTGAGATTTTTAACCATTAAGTATTATTATTATTATATTTGCAATGAAAAGTTAATAAAAATAAATACACATTCACATTCAGAATATAGCAGGGGTTGGGAGGTAGCAAGTAAGAAGGAAATGTCAACATGCTTGGCTGACACCAGATTTTGGGAGGCCATGAGAGGGAGAAGAGTTCATATTTGATTCAGTTGTTTACAGACATCCAATTGAGTTCTGTTGGCACTGAAGAGACAGAGGGAAAGTAGTTTTAGGAAGATTCACCTATGTAAGTAAGGTAGCCTGGAAGCTGAGCCCCCCACAGCCCAATCAGGCTGATCCAGATGTTTTTCCAGCAAAGTTGCGTGAGGTCAGCTTCGACTGGATTTTACTTGGACCACATTATGCGGAGAGGCCCTGGCAGAAACCTACCAGGCATCCATTAAAAACATTTGGTATGAAGGGGCCGGGGATTTAGCTCAGTGGTTTCACCGCCTGCTTCACAAGCACAAGGACCCGAGAGTTCGATCCCCAGTACCAAAAAAAAAAAAGTGGAATAAGACCCCACCCCTGGTGGGAGATATCCTCTGGCAGTGAAAATGAAACAAATCTGAGATATATTTCAAAGGGGGGGGGGGCAGGCCTTAAGCACAAGTTGGCAAGACTGGATACAAGAATAAATGACTCTGTCAAATTGGCCAAGTCTTTGGTTTCTACCCTGGGAGACTAAAACCAGGTGGCCATGACCCTGAGCAAAGAGAACTAGGACAAAGCTCCGGTTGGGGGCTAAGGTCGAGCTCACTATCATTAACAGTGAAGTTCTCCCCTGCTCCCTTTTCTGCCAGGGGCAGACTGAAGTGGAGACTCGGGATCTTTCCTGACTAGAACTAAAAAGAGAGAAGGTTGCTGCAAACATTCTTCATCTCTAAGGTCCATCTCTGGCAGCCAAAGTCGCCTGCTGGCTCCCTGAACTCTGTCTTCAGACACCCAGAATGTCAGACACTAAGGGTGCAGCCTTCAAACGGCGCCCAGAAGGGGGCAGTGGCCAGAAGCCCATTCGCCGGCCCCTGGGAACCGCCTTCTGAACTCCGAGTACCTTTCCCCTGCAAGCTGGGTCTGGGGGCAAAGGTCCGGCACTCAGCAGATAGTCCCTCAAAACTGAGGCCTGGAAGCAGAGGACCAGAGTCCCTCATCCTATTCCAAATCCCTGTTGCTCGGAATTCAAAATCCTGACTTGGTGGGAAGCCAGTCAGAAGGTATAAAAAACAAAACACACACAAAATAAATGAGTCCCGACCTCTTGGGGCAAAATGGGTTGCCCTTCCTCTACCCCACCCGCTGGTGACTCACCTCCCTCCCAACTAGGGCCTGCCCCTCCCGTGCCCGGTGCCAGGCGAGCAGGGCGGGGCGGGTGCTGAGGTGGGCTCCATCCCCGAGTCCCAGGCGGGCAGGCAAGCTCCAGCGTGTCCCCGCGGGTGCCCTGTTTACACCAAGCCTCGGAGCTAGGTGGGGGCGGGCCCTCGTGGCACCTCCTCCACCCCGCCCCTCCACCTCAGGCCCCAGTCCCAATCCCAGTCTTACAGTCTCCAAATCAAAGCTCAGCCTTTCCCCGTGGGCTGGAGGCCCCTGCCCCCACTCTGGGCAGGGGAGGTACAGTCAGGGTTCCCCGAGGAAATCGGGCTTCTGCCCAGACATAGGCTCCGGGAACCTCGAGAGGGGACCCGAAATCCTAGGGTATGACACCGAGTTTCCAAGAGGAGTGCCCCGCTCTCCTAGCTCACTGCCCCATCCTATCCTCGACCCCCTCAGCTCTGGAGTGTGTGGGGGGGGGAGGACCAAACCAAGGGAGAGGGCGCCTGGGCCCCAAACCGGCTAGGAGACCCTCGAGACTCCCACTCTCAGACCGCTTCCCAGAACTCCAAAGCTTGTCGAGACTCCGACTCCCCCTCCCCAGGGCAGCGCGCCAAACTGGCGCATGCGCACTCTCAGGATTGCCGCGTAGCTCTTTCTCCCCACCACCACCACCACCACCACCACTTTTTTCTTTCCCCGCCCCTTCCCTCCCTCCCTGCTTTCCCCGTCCCCTCCCTCTCCCCCTTCGGCCCCCCCGCGGCACTTCAGCCTGGGGAACAGCGGTGCGAGCTCCAGGCCCGTGCACTGAGGAGGCGGAAACGAGGGGAGCCCCCAGAGCTCCGTCAAGCCCCTTCCAAAAGCTCCCCCACCCGGTCCACGCCCCCCACCCCCCACCCCGCCTCCTCCCAATTGTGCATTTTTGCAGCCGGAGGCGGCTCGGAGATGGGGCTTTGAGCTTCGCCTGGGGAGGGAAAGAGGAGCCGGGAGTAAAGCTGGGGGTGAAGGGTTTGGATTTGGGGGTAGGGGGCGCACCCTCGTCAGCAAGCCCTTCCCAAGGGGCTCAGAACTACCTCTTCACCCACGCCCCTGGTGCGCTTTGCCGAAGGAAAGAATAATAGAGAAGCGGGGGAGAGGAAGATAAAAGGGGACCCCCCAGTTGGGGGGCGGCGAGGGAGAGAAGTGGCAGGACCAGGGGGGAGGGGGTTGCTGCTTGCATCAGACCACACCATGCTGACCCCGCCGCCGCCGCTGCTGCTGCTGTTGCTGGTGCCTTCGCTCTCAGCTCTGGTCGCGGCCGCTGTCGATGGTGAGTGAGATTCCGCGGCCTCCTGGACCCCTGGGGGACGCCCTCCCCAGCCCCCACTCCTGCGTACGGATAAGGAAGGGAGACGTGGGAGGGGGTGCCTTTTGTTACCCAGTACAGCTGACACAGCAGCGGCCTGACTGGGGGCGGGGACTGGGGTCTGATTTGGGGGATGAGGACCCTGGGCAAATGATGGTTCCAGGGACCCCCCAGCTTAGACAAAGACCAAAGGCTTGGCTAGGGAGAAGAGGACTCCCCCTTTTTCTGATCTTGGATCTAGAGGCCTTCTCTGCCTATCTCGGGTTGGGGAGGGCCTCTGCTTCCCCTACATCCTCCACCCTCCTGTCCCCCCCCCCATCTGAATTGTGAAGGAATCCGGATTTGCAATGTAGGGCTGCAAAAGGGGGGGGGGCGTGCAGTGGCTTCTGAAGACTCCAAAGGGAAGCCAAGCCAGGGGTGCCCTGCCCAGCAGGAGGCAGGCTGGCCTGACAAGGCTGTGGGTGGGGAGAGGGAGGGCCCCCTGCTTGGTTGTAGAATGGGCACCGGAGCCCAGGCTTGAAGGCCTGGGTCCAGGATCCAGGGCTGCCCGGTGGATCCTGAAGTGGGCACTTACCTCTCTTAGGGCTTCTGTCAGTAGCCTGAGTAGAGCTGTTTTGGAGGATGAAGAGGGGGTGACGATGCTATATGACTTTGAGTTTTCCTCCTTCATTCCTGAGAGCCCTAGGATGAAGAAAATGTCACCTGTCATCTTTGGGGAAAGGGACTGGAGAGTGGCCTGAAATGCTGGGGTAGAGGGCAAGAGGGGTCCTCCCACCACTTTTGGCTTGATCACAGTTTGGGCTGGAAGGAGAGTTGGAGGTTGGATAGGGATTATGACTATGGCCCCCACCCCAGCTACTCCTTTAACCTCCCTCCATCCGACTCACACATACTACCGCAGTTAGGTTTGGGCTAAAACTCTGTCCTTTGGGGAAAATGGGGTGCCTTTCTCCCCTTTTTCTGTCAGCTGTTTTTCTTCTTACTTGTGAGTCACTGGTTTAAGCCTTGCCCAAGCTCTAAGCTGGGGTCATGGGGTTGGGTTGGTCTGGGTCCCTGACTTGAAAAGGGATGAAATCTCTTTGCCCTCTCACCAGGGCACAACACAGACTCATACCGTCATGAACCTCTCCTCTGTCTTCTAAATCTTGCCAGACTGAGATAGGGAAAGTTTTTCTCTGAAATCAAATTATCTTTCCCTCTCTCCTTTCCCTAAGTTGCTCCAGTTGGGGGAGGAGAGCTAGAGGATCAGAAAGCAGCTGGGCCCAGAAAAACAGTTTATTCAGTGGCCCTTAATCATCCATCTTGGGGACTGTCTGTCTGCACCCCCCTCCACAATTATCTTTCAAAGAGGAGGAAAGAGGCTCTGCCTTGAAAATCCTCCAGACCTGCCCACACAGCTACCCTCACCCTTTGATTGCCTCCATTATCAGGTTCTTTCCTCTTGCTCCCAGCCATGTGGGGGAGAGGGGAAACTGAGGCAGAGAGCTTTAGGTGCAGCTACTTCTGGGAAGGAAAGAAAAAAATGTTGGATGAGAAGGAGCTCCATCAGGAGGCCCATGAAGGAAGGTGGGTGGGTGGAGTTAGAAGCAAAGAGTCTCAGAGGAGAGCAGAAGAGACCACCAGCCCAGTCAGGAATGGGCCCCAGGGAGGCTTACTCTCTCATCCCAGAGGGGTCCTAGTTGCCACACCATGTTAATTCACAGTAGTTGGATAAGGAAGACTGAACATGTTCTCCTTAACTGTCTCTCTACTCTTTCTTAAAACTACCCTGCCCACCTGTGTGTATCCCCAGCTCAGATCAAACTCTGTTCAGAAACCCAGGAAGAGGACTCCTCCCCAAACACACCAGTATCCCTCCCCTTGGAAGGGGAATATGAATACTCTGGAGGGTAGGGAAGGAGAAATTTGTAGAAATGTAGGTTCACCTCTATCCAATGGCAACCCCTTATCCAGGTCCCTGCTTCTTACTTCCTGATCCAAAGAACTTCCTCTGCTTTCCAGAGAAGGAAGCATGCCCCAGCTTACCTGACTAGTGTCTTCCTCCTGCTGTCACAGGCCCTGCTCCCTTCTTTCATGGGAGAGGCCTGGGGGCCTTCCTTACCTCTTTTCCCTTTTCTTCTGTGCTTGAAACTGTTCCCAGTGGCCCCTTCTTTTGGGGGAGAATTGTCACTCCCCCAGTAGACAAAATTGAGTGTACTGTACTTGCTACTGGGGAAGATGGAAAAAAGATAGGATGGGGTTGGAAAGAGGGATCCTTGAGAGCCCTGCTGAGATTAAAGGATATTTTGTAGTGGAGAAGGCACCTCCACAGAAAGGGCTCAGGGAAGAGGGTTGACCTCTCTTCTCCCCTCCCCACACCCACCTTGAGCTGGGGTATTACCAGTTATTGGAGAGATGAACAGCTGAAATAAATTATGAGGCTGGGTATCAGCCTCCTGGCTCCATAAGAGAAGGTTCCAAACTCCATTTTCCCTGCTCAGACCAGACCCTAAATATCTCACCATACCTTCATCTTTCGAAGCAGAGATATGTAAGACATTCGTTTGGGGATTATTTTGATGTTTGGGGCTGCTTCCCAAGCCTTCTTTTTCCTCCAATCTTGTTTCTGCTTCTTTTTCTCCAGTTTTCAAAAAAATTATCATCATCATTATCATTATTATTATTATTTTTACCTTTGACCATCCCCCTGTCACTAAGCCTCCCAGGGTTGTCAGCCAGAGCACTGGCCAAAGTCAAATCTTGCCCAAATCCCCCCACTGTTCAAGACTCCTTCCTGGGCTGGGGTTTTAGTTCAGTGGTAGAGTACGTGCTTAGCATGCTTAGGCCCTCAGTTCAATGCCCAGCACCAAACTAAAAACCCTCTTCCTTACCTTTGGGAGGTCCTTCCTTCCTGAAATCTCAGTCTTTTCTCCTGCTGCAGTCACAGCCCTGCACATCAAAACCCAAAGCCTACATTTTATGCCTCCCCAATATTCTCTCTCAGGACCCTCCCTACCTCTTGGACTGCTCACCCTTCTAGTGCTCTGAGTAGGGGGGTGAAGAGGGACTCACTGTCCTTGGGGGATCTGGGGCTGTTGAGTTAACTGAGACTGTGAAAGGGTCCTTGACTTGGTGGGGCTCCATGTGAGCCCCAGGAAACCTCGTCCGCTCCCCCCCCCCCCCCGTCCCCCATGCCGTGTTCTGTCCCAGATTTTGGAGTGGTTAGCAGGATCCTGCATTGTTTGGAGAAGGAAGCAGTTGACTCTGGAGTGTTTCCTGTGCAGTGGCCTCAGGCACCAGTGTAAAGCCTCCCGGAGAAGGAGCTGAGGGGTGTGGAAGAAGTGACAGTTGCCCCTCTTGCAGCTGAGATGAGAGTCTTTCCAGGCTGCATGTGGCTTCCCTGGCTAAAGAGCTGGCTTCCTTTCTCCCAGCCTCCAGATCTGGAGTAGTGTCCTCTGTTCTGAGTCTCCGTGGGTCAGACACTGGCAAAGCTATGACTCTGTCTCCCCAAGTCAGGATATATGATGCCCCCACCCTACTCTGAGTCTCAGTGGGGTAGTTATTCTTGGGTTCATCCTAGGACAACTATGTCACCATCTTGGCAAACTCTAGGCTGAGCCCCCTTCCTGTCTCTTGCCTGCCTGCTTTCCTTTCTGTCTGTCTGTCTGTCTGCTTGCCTGCCCTTTGAGTGTGTTGTCTCTTGCCCTCTTGGCTCATCTCTCTTATTTTCCCATCCTCTGTGGCATTCTCTGCCCTGACTCTGTCCTGTTATTTTTCTTACTGTCTTCTGCCTGTCTCCATTTACTTCATCCAACCCCCTTGGTATCCCAAACACTGCCTGGGAGGGGAGTCCTCCCTGGGCTTTCCCCCTTACTCCCTAGCTCCCCCACTTACCATTTTGAAATTATTCTTCCCCTCCCTGTCCCAACTCAGATCATCCAGTTCCGTGGTGAAAGTTCCCCCTCCATTTTTCTTCAAATTCCTCTCTTTTCTTGCTTCATTAATTTTTGGAATAAGTTGTAGAGAGAATGTTTCTGGAAGAAAGAAACTTGATACCCATTATGGGCTAAGAGGGGGAAAGGAGGTATTTCAGAAGGAAGAAAGAAGGTTAGACTTCTGGCAGAACTTCCTCCTGACAGGAGACTGAGAACTGGAGGGAGATGGAGGGAGAAGGTCAAGAGCTGAGAGCGTTCGTTTCTGGTGAGCATAGGCCACTCGGGGGTGGGCAGGAGTGAGGGCTTGTAATGGCCTTCTGAGAAATATGCTGACCTTTGCCAACATTTGAGGGGTCTAGGTTTTTTGGTGGGGTTTTTTGGTACTGGGGATTGAACTCGGGACCTTGCACTTGCAAGGCAGGCTGCAGAACCACTGAGCTAAATCCCCGGCCCTTCTAGATTTTATTTGTGGGGGAAGAAAAAGATGATAGAGAGGTCATGGGTCAGGCTAATGTCCTGCTGAGTCAATATTGACTCAGGGTGGAATGGGAGACCCTTCTCCTCTTCTGGCAGTCCAAGCCACCCTGTCTGTCCATCTGTCCAGGCCGCAGAGCAGGGGCCCAGACTCAGGAATGACAAAAATGTGTCTGAGCCTCACTGAGCAGCAAAAGGAGCCACCCAGTAACACCCAAAATACATAAAATTTGGTGAAAAGCTCTCCGTTTGGGTCTGGGAGGCCCTTGCCCCCCCACCCCTCTAAGTCTGAAAGTTTAAATTCCTGCAGACTGTGCCCCCCGCCCTCCATGTCTGGGCTTCTCTGTCCCCTTAGATGTACCATATGGCTCCCTTTAGAATACATCTCCCACCTATCTCAGAGAGGAGCCTATCTGTCCCTCTGGTGGGTCAACGCTTGGAAAGGGCCCCAGGGTCTCTTTCATGCTTTTCTTGCCTCTGGTCTCCTTGTCCTTCGGGAAGTACCACCTGAGGTCCCTCAGCAGGTGTTGAGAGATGGATCTCCTCCTCTGAAGAAGGGTCCTGCCAGGCCTGGGCTTTTCTGCCTCCCTCTCTTCTCTGGCCAGACATGTTTGCCTCCCTTCCTCACCCCACACCCCAGGTCCCAGAGTGGGACAGAGGATGACAGCCAAGGCTCAAGCAGGGCAGGGGGGTCTGTGTTGTGTCTGGACACACACCCAACCCCACACCTTCTGCCCTGGCTCCAGTTTGGTGGCCCTGGGGGCCATGGCTGGGCCAAGCGCCTGGGTTGGAGGGGGGTGGGCAGGGTGTTGGCCAAGTTAGCATGGTGGTCACATTCATCTCCAGGCAAAGCTGAGAACAGACAGCCCCTGTGTCCTGGTGTTCTTCCTGGAACCTCGCTCGCTCTCCTCCCTCTCTAGTCCTCTCCTCCTTCTTCTCCCTCTTACCTCACCCGTCTTCTGTCCCGTTCTTGTCTATCTTTGTCACCTCTGTGCCCTTCTCCTCTTGGAGGGGCCCTGAAGGCCACCCCTTACTAATCCATCTCCCCACTCCCAGCACCAGAGAACCGGCATTCTCCCTGCTCTTTCCCTTCTAAATTGGGTTCCAAGTGCTCAGTTACTCATTGTTCCTCAGTTTCCTCATCTATAAGATGGGGTTTGCAAGGCACCCACCTCTGCAAGGTTGTGAGGATCTAAATGAGTTAATGTGGAGAGTGTTTGAGGTCTGTGGCTGGCTGTTGTGACCATGTTCAAGAATATAACCTCATGTGAGGTAGTGGGAAGCTGTTAGTTGCTTCTGAGCTTAGGGCAATATTGTTTCTTCATCTGAACTGCAGGCCACAAAGGTAGGTTTTCTGGGTGCTAGATTCAGATGCACAAGGCTCAGCTAAGGGGCGTGGGGTTGGCTTTGCCTCTAAGCAGATTATAAGTTTCCACCCCTACCCGCCCCCCCCAGCTCGGAGGAGGCTTCCCTTGGCTGTGGAGACTGCCCCAAAGTCGGTTATGTGTTCTTTCCTCCCCTCTCCCCTGAAAGGAAATCAAAGACAGGCCTCAGCCTTCTCACTTGAGATTCCTGGGGCTTTCTCCACCCTTGGGGACAGGAGGGAAGTTCCTTCACTTATCTCTCCATGATCCTGATGCCACCCTGGTCCTCTGGAGATGCACACCCCCATCAGCCCTCTACCCCTGGACCAGAAGAGATGCTGCTTTGAACAGGGGCCGAGCCCTCCTCTTCCTTTCACTTGCCCCCATCCCCCACTCCCCTTCTGAAAGAGCACATCTGGTTTGTGAATCTCATTCCAGCTTTCGGAGTTTGCCAGCTGCTGTTTCCTCTGTCGAGTTCAGGCCAAAAATGGGGGTGGGGGACAGTGGGGGGACTATGTAAGGGCCAAAGGAGGGGGAACCATGGCTGGGATGTGGAATAGAAGGGAGGTTAGAGCGACCAACCTGAGACCTCTGGCCCAGCTGTAAGTTCTGGCCTGGGAAGGGGTGGGGGCACAGACCATGTCCCAGGTGGGGTTGGAAAAAAGTGTCACGGAGCTGGGGGCAGCATGGGGGTCCACTTCTGGGCTCCAAACATCCCATGTGCCTTTGAGTCCCATTCCAGCCCCCTCTCCCCCCTCAGGCGGCCTGGCTGGCCAGGGGAAGTGTTGGTTCTCCGGCATGCTAACTAGGCTGGCGGGCTGTGTCTCCCGGGAAGACCTCACAGCTGGCCCAGTGGGGCAATGAACTCAGCATTATCCACCTCCTCAAGGGGCCTTTATTCCCGGCTCAGGGTGGGGGGGGGGCGGGTAGGAGGGGGACTGGGGAGGGGCTGGCCAGGCCATCCTCGATGTGTTTCCTGAACTCAGCTCTGGTTCTGGCCAGGGCCCTGAGTGCAGTCTCCTCTGCCAGAGATGGGGGTTACCGAGGGAAGACATCTCGATGTGACCCCCATCAGACTTTCTCCCTCCCTCAGATCCCTGACACACTTTCCTTACACTTTCATCTCTGCCCTGTATTTGAGTTAGCTGTTCAGTACTGTCTTCCTTTGGGACTGTGGCTCCTGAGAGGCAGAGGGGTTGTAAGGTCCTTCCTTGCACCTCAGGACCTAGTGTAGTGCCCAGCACAGGGGTGGCCTTCAGTACACGCCAGCAGAATGGAAGTGAACTTGACACAGGCCAAGGAAAAGGTGATGAGGAACCAGGAGACTGAGAACCTGGTCCTGGGTAGGGGCTAAGGACCACCAAGGAGAACATGGTGATGGGGTAGGTGGAGCTGCTTTTCAGCCTCTTTCAGGAATGGGAGACTGGTATGGACTGCACTGGTTCAGAGCCTAACTGAACTGAGTTGAGTCTTGGTTTTGTCACTTGCCAGCTGTGTGGCCCTGGGCAAGTGTGGCCCAGTTTCCTCCTCTGGGAAAGGGTGGTATGAGTGGTCCCTTCTTGTCATCCTGTGGAGCAGATTAGAGAAGATGATACGTGGAAAGTACTGGCTTACTACAGTTCCCAGCACTTACTAAGCCCTCAATAATAAGAATTGGTTGCTACCATTCTAACTCCTCCTCGGGAGCAAGGGAAGGAAGAGGATAGGGTGGGAGGGCAGGGCTGGAGGTCCCAGATGTAGCAATTCCACAGGTTGGTGGGGAGAAACTAACTGCTGCAGGTCATGCCTGCCACCCCTGCCTCTGTTCTCTATCTGTACCACCTTGAGCAGTCTTCTTGGTGCCTCTTCCCTGAGGACTGCTCTGCGAAGTCTCCCCCTGAGGTCTAATCAGCAAGGGGGCCGTGTGTTTAGCAAGTGGAGGTGGCAGCCTGATGCTTGCCCTGCCCAGAGCCTCCTGTCCCTCTGCAGATGCCATCTCTGAGCTCTTCTGTGTGCCAAGGGTACCCCTACACATAGTTTCCATCTGGAGACCTGGTGATTTGGGGTGGGGGTTGGCTGGGGTGATGGGTCAAAGACCAGGAAGAGGCCAGAGAAGCAAAGAAGTTAGAAAGGGCCAGCTCTCGGCTACTAGTGGGAGTCAAAGAAAAATGAAAAGAAAACTCAGCAAAGGCCTATTCCCCCCACCAATAACTGTTAGTCAGCAAAGCCTGAGGTATTAGTGTCTGGTCAGAGTGACAAGAGCAGCAAGGGCTTTGACTCTGAAGGGGAAGGAGAAGCATACTGCTCATGCAGACTTGAGGACTGGGGGGTGGGGGTGGGATGGTA